CCCCAAGGTGATTCAAAAGTTGTTCATAGAGAAAAATGTAGCATTAGTCCGTGATGTTAGGTTTTTATAGTGATATGCCGAAACTCATCAGGACCTTGACCAGAAATGCTATGGGGTTGCCAGGGGTAACAACATGTCCAAAGCAGAGGATCTGGGCGGCTGGTGATTTACTAAATATTAAACAATTATTCCAGCCACTAAATAAGGTAAATGTGCCCACTGTTATATTCAATACCAGCTCAGGAATGACATTTGATGTTATGCATTAACTTTTTATCAGGAAACAAGCGCAGCACTATCGGCCACGTCATGGGCCGTGATAAAAAATAATTCTATCTTAAAACGATAGTTTTATCTGCACAAATAGCACTGAAAAAGTAGGCTAGATCATTTTGATTCAATTTGGAGCTTAATGGGGGGGTAGTTGACCTCTAGGTGACCTACAAATTAATCTTTAATGTCTAAAACAACAGCGGCATGTGAGTTCTTTTTATTTATTTTCGTTTTTACAAATTACCATTTAAAATGCACAAACCTGCTCTAAAGAAGCAATAACCATTTTAGTTTGCTGAGTTTTTTCACGTCAGTGGGCTTTCAGCTGCACGGGTGTAAACAATGTGCATCTGAATTGGAGAGCGTTTTTGTTTGTTTTTGTTTAGCTAAGCTAAAAAAAGAGTGTTAAGCTAGAGAAAAAGGGATTGCTGGGGGAGAATCAAACATCGTCACTGGGTTTTTAGGGCCTTTAACTGCCTGTTTTCCTGCATAAATGTCTTGACTGGAAAATTTGACACAAAAAATTTCATTTTCTTTATTTATTTTATAGGGACAGTGTACATTAATTAGCACTGATGCAAATGCAGCAGGGTTAGCCCTAACTCTGGACAGATCTTAAAATTGTCCACCTAAAAACATAACAGTAAGATTTTTACAGCGAGCAATAGAAATATAAAAAGAAATAAAACAGATATAACTGCCTAATGTGTTTGTAGTAAGTTGAGCAGATCTAATTAAAGTGGTACAATCCTGGCATATCCTAATTGTTATTGTTAAACTCCCTTTGTCCTCAAGCTAATGAATGAAAACACAAACTCCTGAGCCGCCCTGTCTGGGAAAACATCAAGGAGGTCAGGATCCTCCGTTACACTTTCTACTTAAAGGTACAGTGGAGGATGTTCTTTTTCCAGTCGGATCATCTAAATAAGTGGTCTTCTTGTCAACCATTCTGGTGATATGTTTACGTAAAGGTGACTCTGACATAGTGGAGAATTAAGCTTCTTTAAGTGATGCAAACAGCAACTTTTAAACAGAGCGTGCAAGAGGAGAAATGGGCTTGTGCACGCTCTCACATGCGTTTTGTAGGCGTTCCCTACGGAAAAGGATTAGGGCCACTGGGGAAAAATAAAAAGTTAACTGATTT